CTCATTGCAAACCCCCATCTCTGACTTTCTTTACTCACACTTACTCTTAGTAGCTGCCACTTCCAGCTTACAGACTGGTGAAGCTGGGTACCTTTCTACATCATACTAGCTATTTATGAGGGTGAGTTTACACCAACTCACAAGTATGAGCATATCTAGAAAACAATTAATCAGGAGATGACTGAACACTTAATATAACTTGTTCTTATTATTTTAACTGAAACCACAGTAGACTACATTTATTATAATAATCTGTAGGGGAAGGAAGGTGGGGTAGGGATTGGCTCCAAAAAGGTCGGAGGGAGGAGATAAAGGAGGTTTAGTGGGCGAGGGGCTTGGACTTCCAACAAGCTTGTGTGAGCGTGTTAGATAGGAGTAAATGGAGACGAATGGCTTTTGGGACCTGACGGGCTATTGGAGTGTGAGCAGGGTAATATTCTGTGAAGGGATTCAGGGAAACCAGTTAGCCGGACTTGAGTCCTGGAAATGGGAAGTACAATGCCTGCACTTTAAAGGGAGGGTTTGGGATATTGGCAGTTTGGAGGGACATCTGAACTGGTGTATCTGGGTGCCTCTGCAAAGACATTGATTATGTATGAGTGATGGTCACCCTGCCTTGATGGGACAGTCTACGTGTTAAAGAAAAATTATTTTAGCATGATACATGCTTGTACAAAGGAGTATAACAATTTGGTGTACATGCCAAAAACCCCTTTATGTGCAGAGCATTTTGGGCAAACTTAAGACTAACTTAAGAGCAGTACTTGTACATATGGTCATTAGGTGAGTTATAGTGAATACAAGAAAACTGAATATTCTGTTAGCTCATGCTATATGGTTTTAATAGGTTTGGTAGAGAAGAATTACAGTTTTGAACAGTATCAAACTTTTGACCTTGAAGGTAATAAGATAAAAAGGAGTTTTTGTTCACATTGTTTTCTCTGGCAGATGGTATTCATCATGATGCTTTGATGACCAGACTGGAAGTTCATGTGTTACCATGTCATGGAAACACATACCCATTGCCGTCAGGCCAGATGCTACCCAAGGTTATGTGACACCTCTGTCCAGACTTGACATGATCTACATTCATTAATCATATCTGATAACCTGACCATAGAAGCACTGAAGTTTTTCCATTGTACAGTGGACCCCCGGTTAACGATATTTTTTCACTCCAGAAGTATGTTCAGGTGCCAGTACTGACCGAATTTGTTCCCATAAGAAATACTGTGAAGTAGATTAGTCCATTTCAGACCCCCAAACATACACATACAAACGCACTTACATAAATACACTTACATAATTGGTCACATTCGGAGGTAATCGTTATGCGGGGGTCCACTGTATTATATAGTAGTACGTATTACTTTATATATCGTTCTGTCATACTGTGCATGAACAAACCATAGTTATGCAATGCATTTTGGGCAGGCTTAAGAGAGGGTAAAGGAGGTTTCTTGTGTGAGGGACTTGAACATGCAGAAAGTGTGTGAGAGCATGTTAGATAGGAGTGAGTGGAGGCAAATGGTTTTCGGAACTTGGCAAGCTGTTGGAGTGTGAGCAAGGTAGCATTTTGTGAAGGGATTCAAGGAAATGGTTAGTCAGACTTGAGTCCTGGAGGTGGGAAGCACAGTGCCTGCACTCTGAAGGATGAGTGGGGACATTTGCAGTTTGGAGGAGCACTTGAACTGTAGTATCGGCATGCCTCTGGCAAGATAGTGGAGTGAATGGTTTACCTGGTGGTGGTGAAAAGTACATATTTCTTTTCTGGATCACCCTGCCTCAGTTGGAGACAGCCAGTGTTAGTGCTTGTTCAGTCTCAGTGAATTATTAATAAATAGCAGTATGACTGCATAATAAAATCAGAATAAACAATATCACATCACTTATGTTACTGACCTAGTCACAAGTGTTGTTAAGGGCTAGGCTATTTCATTTATTGAAATTAAATTTAGAAATGATTTCATAAATTTTCTTTAGTAAATTGTGAATATGGCTAAGCTTGACTCTGCTTCTAAGTCACTGTAGCCTTTTTTAATGAGATACAGAGTCTCCTCTACTTACGAACAGGTTCGGTTCCTAGTGGTCATTTGAAAGTCCGTTTGTTCGTAAGTCCAATGTGTATATATACAGTATTGTACAATAGTGTAGTATATGTATGTATGAACATGGAGTAACCTAGACATGTACATAGTTTAAACATATACGTGAACACAGGAAAAATACGAAAATACATTATGTCCACTTTTGTTTCCATTGTGATGGCCTGGTGCTTCTTAGCACAACCACCTACATCACCACTGCTTTTGTGCTTAACACCAAACATATTGGGGGTATAATAATCACAAATAACACTGAATTTGTGGGATGAGCACAAGCACATGTATGAACACTGCATCTAGAGTAACCTATTATGTATTGTTTATATCTTGGTGCTTCCTGCAAATTGTTTGTTTTATTGAAAGTTCACAGCACTAATGTTTGTATGTAGGAGAGTCTCTGTAGCTCACTTTTAAAGATAAAAAAGATTAAAGATTTTATTTCTTTGCAAAATTTACAGTTTGTAATCACAATTTTGATTTGGTAAGTATAAAAGAAAGCCACTATCATGCCGGGGCATTTTGGCAAACTAATCCTAGTACATAATAACTACTTAAGTGTAGACAAGATAAGAATGGTAAACTTTTTAATAAATCTTTATTTTATCTTAATACATACTAATACGAGGTAGTCAAAGTGGAGGTTTATAAGAATAATAAACTTGAAGTTGCATATAATAAAAACAGTATTACAATTACTGGTTCAAACAGTAATATTTTATGGATTGGCATTTGTTTAATAGACTAGAGGTCATATAATATAATATTTGGGAGAGTTGCTTCAAACTGATAAGAAGTTGGTTTTGTTGGTTTGTTTAGTATTGAGAGATGAGATGATTTTTCAGCATAGCCTAAATTTGTATGATCAATAGGGTGTAAATTCTCATAGATCTTGCCCATTTAACTACAGTATTCAGCAAAGTGTTGAATTTGATTAAAGATGGGAATCTCCTTCCTGGCAAGCTCTGTGTTGTTGACTGGCAGAGAATGTGAATGGCTCTCTTCTTCCACCAGTACCAGTCTAGACATGGAAGGTTGATGTAGTTCCCTAAGGTTCTCTGTTATGAAGGCTTTCATCTACTTTATTACTTGATATGTAGGTAGGTAGAGGAGGCTGTCATTTATGTGATACCATATTTAGTAATTTATCCTTCATAGCCTCTGAAATATTATCTCCTGAAGCCTTGTGCACTTTCCTCTGGTATAGAATCTTCCATCATCACTACAAGGCCTGTGTGCTAAACACTTTAGTACTGCACTGCACAGAAAATAAGCATTCAATAGAAAATAGAAGGTACTGTAGCAAGATATTAAATGCAGGGAAGTCTTTATTGGTATAATGTTCACCATGGAGCCCTAGGGCTTTAACAAGTAGAGTGGACCCCTACTTAATGACCTAGGTAGGGACTGGAGGAATGATTCATTAAGTGAAAAATATGTTAAGCAAATCACTTTTACTCACAAAAGCCCATTTTATGATTTGAGATGGGGACATTATGATAATATTCTGAATCTAATTCCCATAATTTTTTAACAGTATGTGCTTGCCAAATATGAATCTACTGTTTACTAGAGGAGTAATGGTGTTATGCCCCATTTTATTAGTGTACAACTTAAAAAAGGCTGAGAAAATATCAGACTATTAAGAGAAAACTCAGTGTGTTTTTGTTATTGTTGTATTATATTAATGGTTTCTGGGCTATCAACAGTAGTCAGTGGCCCGGGGGCCATCTTGACTCTTCAACAAACAATAATAAAAATGTGATGTGATTCCTCTCTTGATATTTTGATATTTTCTTGTATTCTTTTTTTTTTTTTTAGGTTATGCATTTATATTTAATAAAGAACCCCCATCTCCAGTAGGTGAAATGTTGTACAAGTGAAGGATTTCATGCATTTTCTTACCACTTGTCAACATTTAAGACTTTTGCATATACTAGAAGGTAGAAGGGGACCAACTGAACTAGATAGTGGTAGGGAGGTCCGGAAACTGCATTTTTTAAGAGTCAAAACAGGTAGGTTGTATGCCTAGTGATTTATCAGAATCAGTACACAGAAATACTTCCATTACATCTGAAACAGGATATGCTCTTCAGACATTGATGAGTTTGGCATGTCTGAGGAAGAACTACAAATTCACTTGAGTAATGACAGAGGCATTCGTGAAAAGGATTTTTTTTTCCACATTACTTCTTAAGACCTGCAGATTTAATAACCTCTGAGAGTTTGTACTCATATGTATAAATAACTTCATAGATGCATGACTTTATAGACTGCAGATCTGGGGACTATTTACTTCCTCACACTGGCAGTCATGAGTGCATGACTACTGCACTCACTGTACCTCAGCACACTCACCTACACCAAGCAACCTCATTGCCTGGCTATGAAAAATAATTAAATTTTTTCTTTTAATATTTTTAAGTTAGATGGGCAGAATTTTTTTTATTTTTCAGACCAATTGTAGTTATTTAATTATTGTTATACAAAAAATATATATCATAGGCAGTTTTGGTTTATTGTCCCAAAGTAATTTTATTCATTTGCTTAGTAATAGGAAACTAAAAGATAAAACCAAATTTTACTTTGGTTATAAATAAGAATAAAAATGATAAGTAAAATACAAGATTTTTTGGCAATATACGGATTGTTGTTAATCAGAATATTTGTAATATCTTTGAAAATTATATCACTGAAATGTTTTCCATGAGTTTTGCTGAGCATAAAAATTAATTTAGTTTTTTTTAGCTCAGCGAGGAGAAAAGCTTCTTTTGTTTTTTGTACAGTATTGTTGTGTCCAGAATTTATTGAGCAAGATAGTAACCTCTCATTGTCAAATTATGCACTTGTCCTCACCTAGCAATACCCTGATGCATGCACTGCAATTGCACGTTGCAGCCCTGGATCGAGACACTTACAAGCATGTTCGCAAGAGCATCATCGACATGGTGCTGGCAACAGACATGACCAAACACTTCGAGCACCTTAACAAGTTTATCAACATGTCGGGCAACAGCAAGACACCAGTCAAGGATGATGACACAGGATCACTCGATGTGAGCATCCCTATCTGTGATGTAACTGTATACTTATTATCAAAATGCTTCTGTGGGCTGTATCACCCACAGCATCTGTATCTTATATGTTGTTCTGCTCACCATCATCAACATTACTATCATCTCACTATTGTATACATGTATGTTGCACCTCACTATCACTTAAATGTTGCCATGCCACCTTCATCATCCTGCCATTGCCTGTTCATCATCACTATATTCCAAGTCACTTTCCATCATTACTCATCTTATTATCACAGCTCATCACTGCTTCACTATTATTAATATTGTCATCATCATTAGTACATAATGTTTCTGAGGTGGTTGCCTTGGAACACCACCCACATGTTCTCACACCATATACTCTTCTCTCTGTCCCACTAGTCGTTCTCGCACTTTTTCACTTACCTTTCATTCCATTATCCTCTCTAGTGGGGTTTTCTCACCCTGAAGCTCCAGTTGCAACCCTCAAGCTCTGGTGTCAAGACCTAAACTATAGTGAAACATTCTTATAACAGACTAATAGGGAAGGGAGTGTCTGCTTAAGTGAAATTTTGTGGTATCTAAGTTCCTGAAGATACTACTCAACATGAACAAATGCTCCATGCAGCACACTAAGTTTGCTGCATCAATGACATGACCAGACATACAAAAAAAAAAAAAACACTGCTGTACAGTACATACAGTACAGTATAATACTACCTGAAAATAAATGAATGAGCTAAAAGTACAATGCATTAAAGTAATTCTTTTTTAACTTTTCTGGTGGATGGATGAGCTTAAATAATCTTGTGTTGTCTAGCAGTGATTTACTGGTGATTCTCCCTTAAGGAAGGTGCCTTGATGCTGGTGAGGGGGTCTTGATCTAGGGAATTGGATCTGTGCTCCAGTTCCCTGAATTAAACCTGGATACCTTCCACATCCCTCCACAGGCCCTGTATAATCGTACAGGTTTAGCGCTTCCCCCTTGATTTTATTAATAATAATACTGGTGACTCTGTCTTCCTTATTAATTCAGGTTTCTCATTAGAACTTAGGTTCACATATTTCTTGGCAACATCACTTGCTTTAGAGGCCATTGTTAATAACACAATACAGTGGACCCCCGGTTAACGATATTTTTTCACTCCAGAAGTATGTTCAGGTGCCATTACTGACCGAATTTGTTCCCATAAGAAATATTGTGAAGTAGATTAGTCCATTTCAGACCCCCAAACATACACGTACAAACGCACTTACATAAATACACTTACATAATTGGTCGCATTCGGAGGTAATCGTTATGCGGGGGTCCACTGTACAGTGGTACCTCGAGTTACAAACTTAATTTGTTCCAGAAGGCTGTTTGGGTGCCAATACAGAACGAATTTGTTCCCATAAGGAATAATGTAAATTAGATTAGTCCGTTTCAGACCCCCAAAAATACACTTTACAAAAGCACTTACAAAAAATACACTTACATAATTGATTGAGTTGGGGGCTGTTCAAAACTTGAGGTACCACTGTACTTGAATTATAAAATAAAAATACTGTAAACCAGGTAAAATTGAAGACTGAAAGATGATAGTATGTGAGCGTGTGTACATACAATAACAAAATAATGTGACTGCCAGCAGTCCTGCTAACCCTGGAGCAATGAAAACAGACAGTTTCTGGATGTGGCCCATACCAGACATCCTACAATATAGCAAACTTGGTCCAGTGCATTGATGATACTCCCAGACACCTCCAGTACAGACAAATGTGCAATGCAGTAGACTTGGTTGGCTACACTGATGATTCTACCAGACACCCCCACGTAATGGACTCGCCATACCTATATCCAGCCAAAAATTTTGTCCATTATATCCAAAATCTGTTATGAAGTGGTCTGTTATTCCAAGGTTTTACTCTTCTTCTCTCATTGGATATCTCATTTCATTTTCTTGGGTCCCTAGGGCCTTGTGCTCTTTATCTGGATATGTAGTGAATCTTCTCTTCTGGAATTCTTAGTGGGACTGATTGTTTGCTCAACCTGTCATCTGCGTGATCACCTCACTTGATTGCTTCTTGTTAGGCAGGATCATTAATATTAAAATTAAAGTCTTTATTTCCCCCAAAATATACACAGTTGTTATAAATTTATGGATAGCTCTTAATACTCACAACATTCTGTTCAGACTTAATCTAGGACTAAAACTACTAAATACCAAAAAATATATGAATGTAGAGCTCATATAGGTTTTTAATCACCCATCCATCTCCCACTGAGGTAGGGTGACTCCAAAAAAATATCGCCATCATTCATTCGTTAGCTGTGGTGACAGAAGTGTGCAGACATCACAGTTCAGACCATCCTCAGACTGCAACATCCCCATCCTTCCTTCAGAGTGCAGGCACTGTACTTCCCATCTCCAAGATTCAAGTCCTGCTAACTAGTTTCCTTGAATCCTTTCATAAATCCTATCTTACCCATACTCCAACAGCATGTGGTTTTAAAAACATGTCTCTATTCTGCTCTAACATGCTCACATGTCCCTGTTAGATGCTCAAGCCCCTACCACTTGAAACCACCTTCACATCCTTCCTCCTACCCTTTCTTTGGTGATCCTTACCACTTTTTTCTGTCACCCCTTATATATATGCCTGTTCTCCTCCATCCTCTTTAAATACCCAAACCACCTCAGCATCCCCTCTGAATTATACATTTTGTAAACACACACCATCTTTTAATTTCTAAACTCTGTATTTTTTTGCAAAATATAAATGCTATACATTGCTCTTAAATGTGACATCCCAACTTCCTCCAGCTTTCTAATATCTGCATTGTTTGAAGTCCATACCTCACACCTATATACGAAAGTTGATACCAGCAGTAACAGCCTGGTTGGTCAGGCCCTGATCCACAGCGAGGCCTGGTCATGGACCAGGCCGTGGGGGCATTGACTCCTGGAACACTCCCCAGGTATACTATTCTCTGATACATTCCCATATTAGCCTCCATAGATGAACTTCTTTCCATTAATACCTTAACACTGCCTGTCTTTTTTACCTTCATCTTTTCTGTGATTTTGCTCATCTTACAGCTCAGTTGCCAACACGTTCACTCCTAGATATCTACAAACATTCACCTCCTCCTTTGTACTCCCTCCCTTAAAGCTGATATTCAATTTTTCATTACCTAAACATTTTGTTACTCTCATCACCTGCCTCTTTTTCTATTTTTACTCTTAATTTTTTTCTTGTACTTACCCACCCAGACTTCTCCACCAACCTTTGCAAATTCTCTTCAGAATCTCCCAAAAGAACTGTATCATTGATGAAAGAGTAACATACATTGCTCATTCATGATGATGATACTTAATGAGTGCTCTATAGGGGATGTTTCCTTATTTGTTAATTATGGATTATCCATAGATGACTTCCTCTTGTTGAGTTTAAACATCCTCTGCATCTCCTTTGCTGAGAATTTGCTCTTGTTTGGGAGGATGACAAGTTTCAGCTCCCTCATTTCCTGAGGGCCCATGTGCCCTGCATCTGCCACAAGGCCTTTAAGGGGAGTGCCTTGATGCTGGTGCAGACTTTTGAGCTAAGGAACTGGTGTTTCACCACAAATTTAATAATTTAATAATATTTACCAAAAGGCCCAAAGAGCCCAGTGGGACTGCCAGCCTTCAACCTTTCTGGGTCCATGTCCTAGACCTTCATTGTGAGAGCTGAGTTTGTAGCCAGCAGCTTAAATATTCAACATGTGGTTGTCATGCTAGTATGGTAGCTAATGTTACCGGGCTACATTTGAAACCACCTGCCTTTCTCTTCACTATTTCCTTTTATACAGGGATCACATGTGTCCGTGTACTTTGTGTAAATGTTCAGGGCCCCATATCGTCTTGATCTCACTGCCTGTTTCTTGTTTGTCCAGCTTAGACCCTTCTTCCTTGATGTAGCCTCATCACAGCTGGGTGTCTTGTCTCTGCTCTGGGGACAGTTGAGGCTCATCTTCATGAATATCCATTGGCTTTTTCTTGCAGCTGGGGTAAATCTTTTGCCAGTGAGACTGCAGATTGTGTTTAATTTCCTGTCTTGAGTGAGCTTATTGTCAGGTTTATCTTCAGAAGAGAGTCTCCTCTTTTGCCCTCTATTGTTGTCTGTGGCCCTTCTTCATGTCCAAATTCACTGTGTCTTCTGCTGCTGCTTCTTGTTTCATGTGAGTAATTCCATCTTGTAATGGGCTGAGTCTTTCAATCTTTGTGGTACACCTTGAAGTTTCCTCTTGACTTTAACCTCCATTCTTTGTTGTTATGCCTTCACTTTACTGTCTATAATTTCCAGATGGTGATTCAGACACTGAGACTAGGACTTCCTTCTTGCTGTCATGATGATGCAATTTTTTTTAATGCCTCTTTCAGTTAATGGGAGTGCTGGTCAAGGGCATATATACCAGGCCCTTGATGAGGTTTTCTAGTGCCCTCAGCTTCTCCATGTCAGTGTGATCAGGTATATGAGTATGTCATGTTAAACATATTTATAGACTGACAAAGTTGTGCCCTTGCAACCAGGCAGGAGATCACTCAAACTAAGTCAGATTAACCACTGAATCCTGTTTTTTGGGTATTCAACGTGTTCTTGGTGGGTGGTAGCCTTCTTGAGCTCGCTAGGTTCCTTGCTAGTTGTTGCATGTTCAGAGGGAAGGTGTGATTGCAATGCTCGGGGTTTTTGCAACCTATGACCAGGTGTGGCACTTTGCTCAAGGCCCAGGAGAAGCAATTCCCTCTTGTTACAATGAGCCTGTGAGCTTATCAGCACTTTGGTTGAATCACCTTTCATAGTGGCTGGTCTGTGTAATAAAGGGAATAGGAAACCCATAGATTCTGCCATCTTCAGTTTTTGCATATTGGTTGTCAACTGGAGCTCTGTACATGGCAAGAGTCTATAGAGGACATTGGTCACAGCAAGTAACAACACAGTCATGTAGGTGAAGACCTACTTTGTGAAAACAAGACAGGCTTTACTAGAGTTAA